GTAACGGGGACACCCTCTGACGGGCCAATGGTAGGCAAACCCGTGTGGTTTTAGTGGGTCGGGGGAGTCCCCGGGATACAGTGAGTCCCGGAAGCGTAGATCCCAGCCCCACATAACCTGTCCACCTCCTGAGGTGGCGGGTAGCGGTCGCGCATTTCACACGTAAAACAAACAAAAAGGCAATGGTTAATGAATGATATTGATGTATGTGATGAGTTGAAAGGTTAAAATTTCTGGAAGAGGGGAGGATGTGTATGTATTTGAGATTGTGGAAGAGAGATGGTAAGAGGGATAAGGAGGAATGCAAGGATGAATGAGAGGTGAAAGAAGAGAGGATAGGGTGGAGGAGGATGACATCTGTCAAGCACATCTCCCCTCCGCACTCCTTCTCTCTCGCAGATGTCCGGGAGGGGGGGAAAAACATTCTCCCCCCCCAGACTTGCGCCACCTACCAACCGCGGCGACGGGCCAACCTCCCCTTAGCCGAAAGGGACGAGGTGACCCGCCGCCGCACACCCGGCACGCGCGCGCGAGGGCAAGGCCCCCGGCGCTACACCCGTGTCCGAATTGCGGGGAAGGATCAGTTAGGGTGCCCTGAAAAGGGGCTGGCCCTAACCCCCCCCCCCGCTCGTCTCATCCGGGCCTCAATAAGGCTCGGAATAGCGGGAGACCCCCGAGGGAAGGGAGCCCTTGCGCAACTCCCCCCATGGGGCCGGTGTTGCTCCAGCCCCCGCGATAGCCACCTTCGGCCGCGCCGCCGCCCGCCCATCCGAAGATGGGCCAAACAACGACGGGGGATCCGGGAGCGGCACGGGGCCGAGACGCCTCTTACGTCTGGGCCCATGTGTGGGGTCTCCCGCCATCTCTCTCTCTCTCTCCGCAGCCGCCTTGCTGCCCATGACACGGGAGGAGAAGTGGCAGAAGGCCTGCCACTTCTTCTCCCTCTCCTCACCCTCACCGGCTATCGCATCAACGATAGCCGGTATCGTGAGGTAGCCCACCCGCAACTCCGCCCGGAGCTCGCGTCGCTCCTCCGCCCAGGCGGGGCACTCTTGTAGTGTATGAGCGACGGAGTCCGGCACGGAGTTGCACGCGCGACACGTTGGCGCGGACTTGCGACCGATCCGGAACAGATACTCTCCGAAGCAACCATGCCCGGAGAGTATCTGTGACATCTCGTAAGTGAGACCACGGCTGCCGTCCATCCATCTATCGAAGACGGGTTGGACGGCCCTGACGATCTCCAAGTGGCCGTAATCGGCCAGTTGGCGCTGCCACTGCGCCATTAGAGACCGCCAGGCTTGGGACCTGGCCACCTCGACTTCGCGGTCCAATTCCTCGGAGGCCCCTTTGGGAACCCCCCGGCGGATTTCCTTTGTACGTCGGTACAATTTGGAGTACATCTCTGCCAGGAGGTTCAGTGGTGGGACCCCCGCGAGGATATGCGCCGCCATGGCGGATACGGTACGGTAGCAGCGCGCGATCCTCTGTGCCGCGCGCCGCCCCATCTGCAGGAGGACTCTCCTGTTGTGCGGCGACGCGCGAAGGTCGCGCGCCCACACCGGGGCCCCGTAAAGGGCCATGCTCGTATCACGCCTAGGTAAAGACGGCGCACCGCGTGCTTGGGACCCCCCTTATTGGGGAGCACTCGGCCCAACGCCAGAGATGCTCCCTGTATACGGGGGGTCATTTCGTCGAGGTGGCTTCTAAATGCCCAAAAGCCATCCAGGAAGAGGCCGAGATATCGCATCTTGGCCCCTGTCCTGATGTGTGTGGTCTCACTCAACCGGATTATCGTCACCGGGCCAGAGACCCGCCGCCTAGGCGCATGGAACCATAGCGCCTCGGTCTTACGCAGGTCTACCCGGAGACCTAAGTCGCGAATCCGCGCGGCCAATTGTCGCGCCCCTACTTCGGCTCGAGAGTGGGCCTCGAGCCAGTCCGCCCCCGTGGCCACGAGTAGTGTGTCGTCTGCGTAGCAGACTACCGTGACCCCCGGGGGCAAGACGGTCCGCAGAACCGTGTTATACCTCAAGTTCCACAGGGTGGGGCCCAACACGGACCCCTGTGGAACTCCCGCAAACACGGCCCTCCGACGTATCGCTCCCTCACTGTCTGTGTATTCCACCCACCTGTCCCTTAGGTAGGCGTCCAGCACCCGGCGGAGATAGGGAGGCACCGCGTGCTCGCGCAACGCCTCCCTTATCTTAGCCCATGGGAGGGTGTTAAATGCGTTTGCTATATCAAACGATATAGCTAGCGCAACACCCCCCCGGGCGACACAGCTCTCCGTGAGGGACCTCACATGCTCGATAGCATCGATGGTCGAGCGTCCCTCACGGAAACCGTACTGGCACTCCGCCAGGTCTGGCCCTACGTGGGACAGGTGCTCGACGAGGCGGTTGACGATTATTCTTTCGAATAACTTGCCCACCTCGTCGAGCAGACAGATCGGCCGATACGCCGAAGGCGAGTCCGCGGACCGTCCCTCCTTGTGGAGGAGCACTAGCTTAGCGCCCCTCCACTGCGGGGGAACTCACCCCGGCTCAGGCATGCATTGAAGAGCCTCCTGAGCCGGTGACCGAGAGCGTTGCGCACCACGACCCAGACTCGGCCATGAACGCCGTCTGGACCCGGAGCCGTGTCTTTGGTTCCCAGACGGCGCATGGCCTTGTTGAGTTCATCCTCCGTGACCCCCAGATCGTCGTCGGACCAGGATACGTCCTGGTCTTCTGGCGAGGCCGCTCCTGCCCCTGAGTGCCAGGGAACAGGGTGTCGACGACCCCGCCCAAGAACTGGGGGTCTAAGGACTCCGTCACCGGGGGGCCCATGCACGCAATTTCTTGCGTACAAGTTTGTACGGCCGCCCCACGGGTCCTGGTCCAACGTGAGGATAAACTCCTCCCATGCCCGGAATTTTGCCTTACCGATGGCCCCCGAAAGAGCATCGCGATACTCCGCTCGGAGGGCCATCTCGGTCTCCGCAGGCATCCCCGCCTCGACTGCTACTCCGCCCTGGAATGGACGTCGCAGCTCCGCATACCGGTGGCGCGCCCGGAGGCACGCATTCCGGAGATCCTCGATCTCCGTACTCCACCAGTACACGGAACGCCGGTTTGGGGGTGCCGCTCCTGCCCTTGGCATGCATGCGTCCGAGATGTCCGTTGCAACATCCCGGAGCGCGGCAGCCTCCGACTCTGTATCCGGGCATGGGTCCTGGTCTGCGTTTGGGTCCCATACAGCGGCGGCGATGGCCGCTCGCAACGCGTCTCGGTCCAGGCGCTTCAGCGCCCATCTTGGTGAGCTGCTCGGGTGGGTGTGCCGAGGAGGTACCCTGCTGGACGGGAGACGCAGATCAAAGGCGATATACCTATGATCGGACAGCGTCTCCTCGTCCATCACCCTCCACCCCGACACCGTGGCAGCGACATCAGGGGTCGCGAACGTTACGTCCACAATGGACGTCCCCTGAGCGCGGACGCACGTAGGCTCGGAGCCGCGATTAAGAACGCGTAGCCCCGAGCCCTCCACCCAAGTCCGCAGTATGCGGCCCCTTACACTGTCCTCGGGGCAACCCCAGTCCACCGACTTGGAGTTGAAGTCCCCGAGGACCAGGATCCTGGGGCTCCTGCACTGTGCTACGAAGGAGCGTATTGCACCAAGGATCCTCTCAAACACGGGCCGCTTGTGACGCGGACTTATGTAGCAGCTCACCACCGTGAGTTCCCCCCACCGAGCGGCTGCCCATCCTTCTCCCGCCGCAAGGCGCTCGAAGGATGTGCCGGGCAGCCGCGATGGGGCCAAGATCACCGCCGAGCCGCACCTGCTCGAGACCGCAGACGGCGGAATCGAGTACGGCTCAGCGATGACTACAAGGTCAACCCCCCACCGCGCCGCACTGGCGACCAGAAGGTCTTGCGCAGCGGCGCAGTGGTTCAGGTTGGCCTGTACCACCTTAGTCGTAGTGGTGGTGGCGGACACACCCGCCATCATTTACGACTTTGGTGTCTTGGCCCCCGTGCCAGACTCCTTGTTGCGGGAGGTCCCTTTAGCGGGTGCCCCCCGATTGTTTCCGCCCAGATTGATGGGCGTCCCCCCAGAACCCCCCGCGATAGTGTCCCCGGTGGGATCTTTTCCTTCCTTCTTTCGATGAGCCGCCTTGAATCCCTCTTGGGACGCGCCTCCTCCCTCTTCTTCTGTTTAGGGGCACAGGATGGTGCTCCCAAACGGTGACCAGCCTCCCCAGGTCCGTACATAGTGGGCACTGGGGGGTCACCTCGCACTTCGCGGCCGTGTGGCCTGTGCCCCCGCAGCGGTAGCAGCGCCCGCTTCTGTCAACGGCGCTTGTGCACCGTTGACTGGGATGGCCTACCTCCAGACAGCGGTAGCATTGCAGGGGTCGGGTCGCTAGGACTTCGGCTCGCACAATCACCCAACCGACAACCAGGTCGCGCCTGTCGGACGCCGCGGCAATTCGCCGGGCGGCCGCGAGCGGGGCCTGAACCCACAGGGTTCCCAGACCCGAGGGGGCACGTCGTATATCGCCGACGCGTATGTCCTCCTCGGGACATCCTCCTACGGAAGCAAGGGAGGAGATTACCTCCTTCCTGCTTGCCTCATCTGACAGTCCGAAGATCCGGACCTCTACCCGCTTGATGGGGCGGGCGACTTTAATGCCCGTCCCAGCAAGGGCCTCCGCCATGCGGGCGGCCAACTGTTCCGCTATGGCGGAACCCCCTTACCGGGAACCTCGAGCAGAAGCGCCCCGGTGGCGGCCCTTTAGGACCTGAGTCCGGTTAGGCCGAAATCGGCCAAATTAATGGCCGCCTTCGCAAGGCCCATGGCCTTGTCCAGAGTGCACTCGCACCCTCTGGCCTCGTCAGCGTGATCGCTGACGCTGGAGGGGCGCGAGGCAGCTTTGCTTTGGCCGCCTTCCGCGGCGCCTCGTCTTTCTGATTCCCTTTCAGGGCCCTCTTCTGAGGAACCTGGAAGACCTGGGCGGGCTTGGCCGCCGCGGGCTTTGCCGCTTTGGCCGCTGCCTTCCTCTCTTTGCGGCCGACCACTTTGGACCAGACCTCCGCCGTTTGTACCGGGGAGGTGCCCGCAGTGGCGGCCGCCGTGACAGCCTTTGGCTGTTTGCTCGCGACGGGAGGTTCAGCACTCCCCTTTTTTCTTAACCGACTGAGGGCCGGACTCGAGCGCCGGCAAGGTGCCGGATCCGGGCTTTGGTTGAGTGCCGGCTCCGGGTTCGAGGAAAACAAAACCCCGGGACTTGCATCCCGACGGCCCCGCCCCCTCCCCCGAAACAATAACACCCCCCTCCAACCCCGACACCTTCCGTATTCCCCCCAGAGCCTCTTTTGCTGCGGCGAGGAGGCACCAAGACCTTATTCTTTATGAAAAACTCTCCTCCAATTTTAAAGTCGACCAGACTGGCAATAATTTATTTTGAATAATTAGTTTAATTTACAAACGTTTCGGCTGTCATTGGAGCACTTTTCAAGTAATCTATAAACAATTATATACATAAATATACTCTTAATGCGCTTAATCATACAAATAATTATAGATTTACAAAAATATATATGTTTACATACCAGATTAATACAATAAATCATATTTACAGCAAACCCCCGACAAAATTAACCATTGTTTTGATGAACAATGTATAACTGACAGAAGTAAGCCCGAAATAATAGATGTTGACTGTTAGCAGGAAACTTAGTCACTACGCGTTGAGGAAATAGAAAACCAAAGTACTGTGTCTTTCGCAATTTTTAAACCGTCAATACAAAGTCAAATAAATAGATAAATAAATAAATAAATAAATAAATATGTAACATATGACAATATAATATATTAAATAGCTTCAAGAACGCGATCATAAATCCCACTGAAATTCTCCGTATCTTTTTGTAAATTAATGCTTTTTCTTTGGTTTTTTATATAGAACATTTCTGCTATTTCTCTTTTTCTCGTTTGTTTTTCTTGATGCAGAATCACAGGAGAATCCCAACGGAACTCATGATCGTTACAAGTCCGATGCAAACTAACAACCGAGTGTGATGTCGTGTCTTTTTTAATGTATTTTTATGTTCCTTAATACGTGTTTCTAAATGTCGCTTTGTTTGTCCAATATATGTAGAGTCGCAATTCGCGCATTCGATTTTATAGACGACATCGGTTCTTTTTAAGTTATTAATACTATCTTTTCCTTTTTTATCAAAGTGTCTAATTTTTTTGGAACGGTATATACTACACCGATTCCATTTTTGTTTATGCAATGAGTAATATTTTCGCTCAAATCTCTAATATACGGCAACACTATAACATTTCGTGTATCAAATTTATCTCGATTAGACGCACCAAAATTACCGCCAAATTTAATCGCCCTAAGTCTCCTGTTAACAATTTTGTTTATGACTGTTAACGGGTAACAATTGTTACGAAGAAT